TTCCATAAAGCCATGACATTGTACAAGTATTCAGGTCCACTTTGTGATAAATAACCAATCACACTGTTTTTCTCCAGGTTTTCATTCTCAAACTGCTTTTTCCAATAATGAGCGTATTTATTAATAATATTATTAAATGTTTGGAAATTAACCTCTTCATATTTATCACCATTTGGGACCAAAAGTACTTTTTCTTTCGATCTAGTTAATACGTGATTTTGAAAAGCTTTTAATAAACTTTGGTGTCCGTATGACATTATTCAGTACAGTAGTGTATATGTTATATAATGAAAAATGTAATCAAAAATCTTTAAGCAAATATTAAGTTCTAAAAAAAAGAGACTATTATGTATGATACAAGAAATCTAAAACCGCAACTACACTTTATATAAAGACAATATAATGGTCGAATTACAGTAAATACGTATGTATGTATCTCTTTATATATACTTTGATTATAGATCCTTTTATTATAGGTTACATTATTACAAACTAGCAAAACAGTTAATCAAGCAAAACAAAATATTTCTTAAATTGTCGACTTTACTAAATTATGGATAAATTTGTAACCTAGTGATCATTTTCAACGTTTGAATCGTCTTATTGAGACGATTCAAACGGTATTAAAATCATTGAGAATGATTACAGGATATCAAACTTAGTCACTAATTTATTGTGATTGGTCCCATATTTACAATATTTACAAATTTTGTCGATTATTTAGGAAACACAGTAATTGATTTCAATGTTTATTTTTGTATTACGTATTTGCCTGTGTAGTGTTGGTTTCCTATTTTATACATAACAGTTATATTTTTCAGTACGTACGTACGCACGGAAGTGTCGGAATGGAAACCTTGTATACGTTTCTAAATATAAACCCTTTTTACAACAAAACAACATCTTTCAACAATTATTTATAGAATTCATGTGTTCCTACAGATTATTCTAGACTGCGATTGACGCTTATCACTCTTAGCAAAATAGTGCGACAAACAATATTTTTTAATTCCTAACATTATGATTTATGAAACATTGATACGTAATACACAAATTTTTCCCACAAATGTGTTTGTGAACCCATGAATTTTACCTGTCATCATTGTTTTAACAACGGTAACATAGGATTCATAAACGTTATTATCGCACTGTTTTGCAAAGAGCGGTAAATTACTTGATTTCAATCATATTTGTTTGGCCGCATATGTTCTATTTTGAAATACAGAATTCTGTTATACAAAAGGTTCTATATTTAGATATACTGTTTTCCCTTCTAGAATACAAAGAAAATTTTAATTTTAGCACATGAAGACATTGTCTTTAGTTAAGATAAATTTTATTTTGTACAAACAAAATTGAATGTTATTCATTGAATGCTTTTCGTACTAAATTGAGGTTAAAAAGGATATTACGCATATTGTTGCGTAAAGTTATATAAATCTTCATTATTTTTCTGTTTAGAGTGCTTAAAAAATTTATCTAGCCACATAACTTCTAAATTCTTACAATTTTAACCAAGCGAAAGATTAATTACTTCCAAATATAATAAAAATAATCTTCAAACTTTTATACCCAAATTTCCAGTAATTTGTACACACATTTAGTCATTATTAATAAAAATGAACAATACTATTATTAGTAAAAATAAAAATGAACAGAATTCGTTTGGTTCGATTACGAATAACTTTGGAGATACAATATCCTTAAGGGAGACAAATCTATTATTGCCAAATCAATGGAGAGAATTTGTTTAACTGCCAATGGTAATTTACAAAGAGTTTTAAGGTCAATATTTTATAAAATTTAAAGTTTTAAAAGTAATTCTGTAAAATTAGTATATAATTACGCAAATTTTAATTTATTCATATAGTTCATGGTTTAACAAACCTATAAAAGTGCAAATTATCAAAAATGACAATATTCCTATCTGCCATGAGAAATTCACAGCAAATACTAATCCAATTATACAACGATTTGACCGAGAAGTCAATCTTTTATGTGAGGGTAAAGTAGTTTGTAATGCTATAAGTGAAGTTTTAATTTATGACAATATCATTGTGAATTTGATTAAGAATGAGGGTATCGGAATTGGTCAATTGTTTAGGTAAGCTTTATTATTAATTGACTACATTTTAATCTTTGTAAATTATCATTATAATGTTGATGTTTAATAACTTGTATAACTTATTGAAATTAAATAGATATCTTGGTAAACTACCTTCATTTCAGTTACATTCTATTGGAAGAAATACAACCACATGGTGGAGGGAAAATTGCGGGTGTTGAATGTAAAATTAAGGAAATATTTCCAAATGGTATGTTCGAAAATGGGTGGATTGGATTAACCGATTTCAGTAATGAAAAAGAGAACCTTATTAATGGAAAACAAGAATTAAAGAGTATTAATAAGGCTTGGTTTATTGACCAAAAATTTAGTTAAATACGTGATGTTAGATACATCATTGAATGACGGGTTAGACTACTTTTTTAATTAATTTTTTTATAATATATAATCTATTGGGTCTTTTTTTTCAATAAACATTACCATTAATAAACCATAATATTGTATCTCATACGAGTTAAAGTTCTTGTTTAATAATTAATAGGCTTACGTTATGTATAATATTAATATCGATCAGTGACTATCATATCAGATCACACTAAACATTAAACATGTCGTAGAAACATGTGTCGAAAATATTTAGACAACGCTCTTTTTATTATCTGTGCTTTTGATGCATTATACCAGGAACGTAATGCAATGGAGTGTATGGTTACATGGCAATTTAAATGGCGTGTGTCCGCAAAAAATCTATATGATTGGATAATGCATCGAATGCTCTTAAATATCACAGTGTTGCATCGTCACCTGGCTCTAGACTTGTAAATAAAAAAATTGCTTTGTTGGTAATTATATATGAACTTATTGAATGAATGCATATGATATATCGTTCAAGCAGCATAGCGAACTTTTATTGTGATTGGTTAGATTTTGTTGATCATCTCATGATTTTATTGGCCGATCGACCAATCAAAATT